CTCTTCTTTAACCTTAGTGTGGTTTCCCTCTTTGCCATATTTTACTTTGCTAATTTCATGATTTGAGTGAATTGCGGTAACTGGTGAATACAAAGAGAAACAATTTAGAAACTGTAACAGGCTTTTTCTCCTTTGGGCCACCAACCAGTTCCCAAATCATGACACGGAGACTTATTAGTTAGGAGTGGTTGGCTTTATCGTATGCTTGTACTACGGGCTCTTATTACTTAACCTGTTTCTCTTCATCTACATTTTGTCTCAGGGCTTTTTACCTTTCTTTCCTTCTATATGTCTTACTTTCACCACTTCTTGTGTCTGACTGGCTGGTAGCTTCCTGACTTCTAGACCAGAGCATGTCTCTCTCTTTCTCCCTCTTTGTCTCCTCCTCCCTCTCCTCCCATTCTCTATGTATTTTCTCTGCCCACCAGCCCTGCCAGTCTCTCTCCTGCCCAGCTATTGGCTGTTCGGCTGTTTATTAGACCAATCAGATGCCTTAAGCAGGCAAGGTGAAGCAAACACAGGACATCTTTACATAATTAAACAAAGGCAGCATAAACAAATGTAACACATCTTTACCTCTTTAACAAAGGCACCAGAAACAAAGGTAACACATCTTTGCCCAGTTAAAATAACATTCCACAACTAAAGAAGTAACTTTAGAAAGTGCATTATCTGCCTAGGCAGGTATTTCAGACAAGACCGCAGCCCTTGCCCAATCTTTTTGTGTGTTTTTCAAAACCGCAGCTTAGAATGTCCACGTGAAGGTGGCTGGTGTAGCTGCCTTAACTAACAAGAAACTTCTGCTTTTCCTGGTGGTGGTATTCAGGTTGGTTTACAGGGAGGGCTCTGCCAGCCTGCTGGCATGCCCAGCAACAGATTAAAGATGCAGACCACCACAGGGCTACCGCTCAGCTTTCAAATCCTGAGGATTTGGGGGGGGGGGTGTTGTAGGAGTTTGTCCTGTAGGTCAGTGTTATTTAGATATGCACATTGAAAGAAAGGAATGGCTCCCTCATCCAATGTACAGCAACATAAGCACTTTCCTGTCAATCTTCAAATTAGTGTTAATAGGCTTAACTGTGGCTGTCTAAGATCCCTTTGCTTTCTTCAGCACGCAAGCACTTAGTACCTGGCAACGAGACCAAGAAATTAAGATCTGTGTCTTTTTTACGATGCTCTTCCTTTGGAGTAACAAAATTAAAAATCAGTATATTGCCATCGGGTGCATTTGAGGTCACTTTAAATGATGTGCCCGTGTGACATAAGGAGGAGTCTGGTCGCCTTTCATCATGGAACAACGGTTTAACTACTGTGCAATGTGCTTGCATGGGTGAGTGTGTATATGTATGGTGCGGGAGAATTATCTGTATTCTGTCAATCATATTTTAATAAAACGCTGATTGGCCAGGCAGGCAGTATAGGCAGAAAAGCCAGACAGGAAGTAGAGGTGGAGAAAAGAGACTGGGAGTATTCTGGGAAGCTCCCTCTGCCACTCCTGCGCAGACCACCGAAGAGGCAGCATGTAACTTGCCCAGCTGAAAAAGGTACCAAGCCATATGGCTAACGTAGATAAGGATAATGGGGTAATATGTGTCATAAGAACTAATAAGTAGCCTGACCTAATGGGCCAATCAGCTTTATAATCTTATGGAGTACTGTGTGTGATTTCGTTGGGAGTTGCTGTCTGTGGGGTACCGGGCAGGACAGAAACCCCAACAAGCCGGCCCTTATGTTACATATGTGTATGTTTGTGTATGTGTGCATTAGTAGATACATGTGTGTTTATATGTGGTTAACATCAGGTATCTTTTTCAAAGTCTATTAACATGGTCATGATCCAAAACTGAGCATACATACCAAGTTGTGGCAATTATGTAAGCAAGGAATTGTGTTCTCTTGAGTACACACATCAGTCACAAGAGACACCAGAAATATATTACAAAGAAACATAGCTGTTGTCTGAAAGCTCCCAGCCCAGGCTCTGATTGCTATCACTGAGGCATGCAGACACAGCAGGAAGGGCCCTTGTCCTTCCCACAGAACACTCATAAACCATTTCCTGTTAGTTCTGTGGCGTGGTCACTCTGAAGAGTCCCCCTCCCCCACGCTGCCCTGCTGCGCTAGAGATCTCACACTCAGGGCTGTTTCTCCTTAAAAATATGACTTTCCCCAGCTTTGGTCCCCAGCTTTAGAGCCACACTTGAGGAGACAACAAAGAGTCCTCCTTTCCACTCTCTGCACTGGAACGTTTAAAAGCACAGTTCAGCTTGGCTGTGTTAATGTTCCCGTTCTGACACCATGTTAGTGCCCTGCCCCTTCTCACCTTTTTCTTAGCACCTTGACCAGTCCACCTAGCTTACCAGCAAGCATCAGTGCAGCATCTCTCTGCTCTTCCCTCCCTGTATCTTGGTGAAGCTATCTATATATGGTCATGTCTCAGCCGAGAATGTACTGGTCTGGCTTTGTCTCTTTGCCCCAGTCTGAATGGCTTAGAAGGCACCCTGATTACTCCCTTGCTTTTTCCCTATTCTGAACTGTAGGAGGAGTGAGCCGCTTATTGGTTCCTGCTGCCCAGAACCAAAACAACCACACAGAAACTATATGATTTAAAACACTGCTTGGTCTATTAGCCCTAGCTTCTTATTGGCAACTCTTGCATATTAATTTAACCAGTTTTTATTAATCTGTGTATCGCCACGAGGCTGTGGCTTACTAGGAAAAGTTCCTGCGTCTATCTCTGGTGGGGCTACATGGCTTCTCTCTGACTTCGCCTTCTTTCTCCCAGCATTCAGCATAGTCCCCCCCCAACCCAGCTCTGCTCTGCCCCACCCTGCTCTGCTATAGGCTCAAAGCAGTTCTTTATTCGTTAATGGTAATCACAGCATACAGAGGGAAATCCCACATCACTGAACCATTCCTAAGTAGCCAGCTTCCGCTTCCTATTTGTGAAGCCTGCTTTGTACATCCGTGGTATGTGCTGCCTTTTCAGAAAAGTGCCCAAAGCCTTCGAAGTTTCCACCTACAGCCTCCACTTTCCAACAAGCAGTGCTGTAGAGGAAGCACACCCTTTTCTGTTTCGACCTCAGGGGCCTGGGCAGGGCACCATGATAATGTTCCTGGACATGACAGACCTCAAGTTCCATGGAATATGTGGGTCGTGGCATTTCAGGGTTTTTGTGAGCGACCGTAATTCTAATTTCATGAAAGCCTCTAACAGAGCAATAGGCACAGGTGAAGAGCTTCTTGTATCCTTGAGAGAGAGGGTCATTCTGAGAGTTTGAAACTGACATCCCAGGTTAAGGACATCAGAAATCTTAGGATAGAAAGATGCTCAATACCTAAAGAGATACTGCTGGTGGTGGTTGGTAGTATTGTCCAAAACTAATTTTAAAACGCGCGCATTTGATAACTGGCATGTGAGGGTCTGCTTAGGTTTAAGTTCCTGAATTCATACAGTGTGGCCTGGAGAGAAAGCAGAGAGAGTTCTGTCCTTATTCTGAGTGCAAATTAAAAGCAAAAGTTACATACTTGTATGCTACTTTGTAATTATAGAAATGTTTATGAACACACAAAACCATTGCATTTGGAGCCGAGAACTACATATGAGAAAGCACATGATGCTTTTGTCATTCTAGATTTGAGGCACTTCATCTTTCCTCCCTATTAGCTGGCTTTTGTGGTGAATGGGGCTATGCAGGCTTCTGGAGAAGAAAAGATCAAAATAGCCTTGTCCAGCACTGGACCCCGCATGCCAAAATGCTGACATGCCATGCAAAGGCTGACCAGTGATGCTCTAGTGGCATAAGTGTACAGAGTAACCAACCACTTTCAGAACATGTTGGGGGATCCTTCCACAGGAGGGAATTCACACCTGGTATTACCAGCATGGTCAAAAGCCCATGGCTGGAGAGGGCATAATACCTTGGGTGGAACCCACTATGATCACTGTTTTTAAATGTCTATACTGTCAAATTTTCTTCTAAATATCTATGTTTATGCCTATAGACCTGGACTATACTCAACCTTGATTAAAGAAGCTTTTTGTACCCAGTGAGTGACAGTCAGTTCAAAGGTCCTTTGAATAAGGGACTAAAAGCTGGTGGAGGGAGAGGAGAGCTGACTTCTGGGTGTGACACGGCCCTTCCATGCTGACTTCACAGCAGCCGTGGTTGTCTGCACAAGGCATGAGTGGGATCGAACCAGCCAAAATTCCAGCGTGGATCATGGAGGAGGTCATGAGGATTTAGCCCTAACTGAAGAGCTGTTGGCAGTTGATAACTGCTAGAGGAGAAATAATTGTTCCGCTTTGGGTTGTGGTTACTAACAGGCTTGCACACGTTCTAGTGGATGGCCCAATCCACGGACACACGGGCAGCACTTAGTGGGTTATGTTTAAGATGAGGGCAAGAATTGCATGGGAAGTAGGTTTGGGAATAGGAGGGGGTAGAGGGGGCAAATGATATTCCATTGTACACATATATGAAACTCTAGAAGAATAAAATTTTTCAAAAAGATACACACGATGTGACTGGCACTAAAAAAGGATAGCTGGCCAGGTGGTGGTGCACAGCTTTCATGAGGCGAAGGCGGGCAGAGCTCTGGGAGTTCTGAATTCAAGGCCAGACTGGTCTACAGAACAAGTTCCAAGAGCAAGCAACCCGGTGTTGCACAGAGAAACCCTGGGTTGGAAAAAGAGATGGTAGGAGGGCCATGTTGAATTCACCTTATCTTCTTTTTCATGATTTATTTATCTTTTTATTTCATATGCATTGGTGTGAAGGTGTCAGATCCCCTGGAACTGGATTCTCAGACAGTTGTGAGCTGCCATGTGGGTGCTTCTAGAGAACCCGGGTCCTCTAGAAGAGCAGTCAGTGCTCTTAACCGCTGAGGCATTTCTCCAGCCCCTCATCTTATCTTCTTAAAACAGGTGGGAATCTATGTTGAAAATGAGGGAGTGGAGTCTTGAATGGGAAGGAAGTCAAGAGACAGTTCAAGGCTAATGAATGCATTTAGCAGATTTAATGTAAAATATATTTCATATGAAATAAACTTCATTTGTCAGAGCATGAGCAATAAAAGAAAAAAACAAAGTCATTTTATTTACCAGAACTCCCAAAGCAACAAAACTTCTGACTCTATGTTTTCACACACAGGACATGAAGCTTTTGTTGAATTTACTTTTTATTTGGTCAGCCAATTAGCACATGAAGGCTTGAGCTATAAAACTTAGTGAGAATCCCCATTCTTCTTCCTTCCTTCCTTTCTTTCTTTCTTTCTTTCTTTCTTTCTTTCTTTCTTTCTTTCTTTCTTTCTTTCTTTCAAAATCTACCATGTCCGTTCTAAAAACCTCTGCTTTAGACTTTTCTGGAACATTCCTGCTGCACTCGGGCATTTGCAAACTTGCAAACAGACAACTTTGGGCTTCCCTGAATCTTCTCTGGATCTTTCCATGCAAGGTCAGCATCCATACATATTCACACACATCCACACGTATATAAACACGTGCAGACACACACAGACACACATGCTGACACATACAGACACACACAAGCAATTCCTACCAACAGCCATTGTTTTGAACCATGGAGAAAGCCCCAGGGGGATGGCCCCCTTTAGAGAGACAGAAGTGTCTCCCAGTGCCCGAAAGATCTATATTCCAACAAAGAGGTGGTGTGTGTGTGTTTATATGTGTTTTGGGCTTTTTACTTTGTTTTTTATTTTGTTTTCTTTTGCTATGCCTCCACTGTGTCCTTCTCTCGATTTGCTACTCAAGCCAAAGCAGCTTCTCTCTCCTCAGACCTGTTTTCCCACCTGATCTCTGCCTCCCATTGCTCCACTGTGAAATCACTGAGCGCATTTACTGCCATCAAAAGCAAGCGCCACATTTACAGGGAAGCCTTCAGTCCCATTGTGAAGCAGGAGTGCTTACTTTGAACTCGGTTTTAGAGATGAGAAAACTCAGGTATGAGAAGTCAGATAAAATTCCAGAGCTCACAAAGGAAGCAGAAAGCCCAAGACTGTCACTCAAATTTGGCCATACAGGCCAGGCCACACTCTCAATGGCCCACCGTGCTGAACTCCCTCCCTTTTAAAACAGCTAATAAAAGCAAGCAACTGCTGCTTGTTTATTGTTGTTAGCTTTTATGATCCTACATATAAGTATCTATATAAAGTCAACAAAAGCCTTGGGTCACTAACCCTGAAAGACCTACAGAGTTCTCTGAATTTAAATTTTTATCTGACATGGATGAAACAAAGGTGTTTAGGGTTCTCCTTTCAAAGGTCTTATGGAAGGTCTATAGAAGAGGTAAACATCTTGCCTAATGTCTCTCTGAGCTTCCGAGAAATGCCAACTTGCAGCACTAATCTCATGCTGAAGCCAAGTCCCTGGGGCCTTCCCTCACCTTGTTTCCCTGCTCCACATGTGTCTTTCCCACCTACTCCTTCCAGCTCCCAGGCCTGGTGGAGAACTAAGTACCCCTGAGAGGTAATAAAACCTGGTTCATAAAAAATGCCTTCTTCTGGGGGCATCAGTCAGTTTGTGTGTCTTGTCACCCCCTTGCTGAATGTGGGATAGAGTACATATAATTGTAGGGCCGTGGTTCTCAACCTTCCCAAAGCTGCAACCTTTAAGGCAGTTCCTCATCTTGTGGTGACTTCCAACCGTAACATTATTTTCGATGCTACTTTGTAACTCTCATTTTGCCACTGTTACGAATCATAATGTAAATGTATTTGATCATAGAGGCTTGCAAAAGCGCTCCCAACCCGCAGGTTGAGAACCACTGCTCTAGGGGAAAGAAAGAAGAACAGACTGATCTCTTGTGAGTCCCAAGGTCTCCTGGGAGTTCCGGCTTTGTTTCTTCTATGGCAACCCAATGACAAATCTTATCTTCTAACTGGGAGTGGAGGGGGATGATCACAGAATTCGGTATTTTGAACGATAGCCCCTGCTGTGATTAGGCACACACACAGCCTCCAGCAGGGCTTCTCTGTTCCTTCTGACATGGAGCCTTGCTGAAGATCAAGGTGTTGCAAGAACGGGCAAAGCTTCGGATTCGTCTCTCCACGGCTTGATGGCCTTTGCGGGCATCAGGTAAAGAAGATTCTTCCAGAACCTCGAGTTGTAAGGAAGGGATTTGTCAGCCTGCCATTTCAGGACCCTGCAGGGCTTCAGGAGCTTCAGGGACGGAGGCAGAACCGTGAAGCTGCCGGCTGGAGTAAACTCGATTAAGATTAGCTTAATCTTCCTCTCCACCAGTGCTTCGTGGAGTCCGCTCTCCAGTTCAAGCCTGGTTTCATTGGTCAGGTAACTTTTGCTGAGGACGATGATTAGCCTCCGGCTCTTCTCTATCAGTGACTGGATCTCATCAATGAAAGCTGGGAAGGCAAGATTTGGGTCAGGTCAGCAAACTACAGGGTGGGCACAGAGAAAAAGCTGTCACCACGCTCTTGCTTTACAGCATTTGGCTTTCGACTGCACTAACAAGGTTTTCTTTAAAATAGGCCAATTTTGTCTGTTGCAGGCAAAATAACCATCTAAATTGCAAGAATCGTGAGCATCCACTTTATCCCTTACCAATGCTGTACCGACGGACACTATACTCTTTAAAATTTTGTGAAAAAAAATGACATTTGTGTTCTTCTTTTCTCTTCCTCCTCCTCCTTGTCCCCCGCCTTCTCCTCCTCATTCCCTTCCTTCTCCTATTCCTCCTTCTCCTCC